CACTGGGTCTATACCTCTGCTGCTGGACTGCAAGTTCCTTAAGAGTACCAGACGGTTGTTTACCAACTGATTTATACTCACAGGTACATCATATTAATAAATTGATTATGATAATTGAGAAATTTTCAGGTAATAAAAAAAGTAATATTGTTTTTATTCAATGACCCTTCCCTGGTTCTAGCAACTCTTTTTGTTGAAATTTTTAGGTTCATGTTTCTATAGTTATACCTACTTTGAGCTTTCTTATATTTATGTTGGGTTTAAAGCCCACTGATGAAAAAGATGTCTCAAAGTTTTGAAATGCACACAAATAGAGCATTGAATAAACATTGGTATCCTTTTCATAATGATTTTAATTTCCAAATCTAGTTTTAATGAATGTTGCACCATGCATCAAGTCAAAAGAGCAAGAAACACAGGAATGTGCAGGTTGTTATTCAACAAGGGACACTGATGGTTTTAACTAAAAACACATGGCATCATTAAGATACAAAAAGTTTATATGTAATCCTAATGTACAAATAAATGGAAATAGCACTTTATGAATTGTGTTCCTGATGCGCTTTTCTGGAATTATATTCATCAAGAAGCTCAAACCCAAAATTTGGAACCAAGGATGTATAAATACCTAAAAATGTGAGGAGCTTTTAGTAACGGTAATGCAGATAACATTGGGGCCCAAACTGTGAAAAAGTGAGAAGGGAAAATCCACCCAATATACATGATATATTGAACATCTATATCGTTATCCATTAGTCCTATTTATCAAACTCATTAATATGAAGTCATAATGAACATCTGTTATACTGTCTATAACTATCTGTCAGAAAATGTTTATTTATGTAACAAGTAACACATGTAAAGTTCACTTTCTGAAGTCTGCACATTTTCAAAAGACTGTATTAGCATCCAAATATCTGTTATGATGTAATACATTTAGATTGCAAGTTTCCCTTATGTTTGTAACTTTTGATAAAGCATAGTTGATCAGGGTTGGACGTAAACACTGGCACTAGGCCATTGAAATCTAAGGTGGGCCAGTAAAAGGAATTTCTGACTGGCCAAATATATGGACCAGGAAACTTAGGATAATATTTTGCAGATTTCCATTTAGAGCAGCAGGATAATTTTAGGAGGACCTGAAAATATTCATTTCAACTGGCCCTACTTGCCAAAATTGATTGTTGCTAAGTGATCATTGAGCTCACAAATACATTTTGAATTGATCAGATTTGTGTACATTTCAATGGGTGTGGTGAATATACATTACTTCTTTCTTACTTTTCAACATAAGCTCTACGCAGAAATGATGATGTTAAAACACTAACAAGGGGTCTACTAGCATTTTGTGTAACATTCATGTCTTCTTGTGGGGATTTCAAAAGCTACTGGCAAACTAGCTATTTAGCTTAATCACAAGGTAGTTGTACCTTTTTCAAAACTACACAACATAATCATCTGGTGATAGGAAAACTATTAAAATCATAAGAAAATAAGAAAAGTCCAGCTTAAAATTTACAAATTAATTATGACTCAAAATCTGTATGTGGCATACAATCATTACTCCATTAATTCCATCTTGCTTTATAATCAAATGACTTTCCCAGACTTTTGTCGTCTGTTATTCTATGATCCTTGCTCCATATTCTTTCTGGTGCATTGTTTGCAATTGTAAGTGATGAGCAAATTAACTTTGCCAATTGGTTAGGTGAGAAAAATGTTGTTTAGATTTAGGTTGCTATGATACCATCCTGGTCATGTGTAAGCACATATACATTTGTATTTGTCCCCCTAATGAACTTTCCATCTTCTTGAAGAAGATAAGGAAAGAAGCATAAACCTCAGAAGAAAATTTGCTGCAATTGCTCAGCACTTTTTCTGATTTTGTTATTTAAAACAACAAAAATGTCTGAACAAATTCTTAAAAACAAATTGTGTACATTTGTAGATATAAATTTGTTAATTCACTTATTTATAATTAATATTTTTGTACAACTTGTGTAGCCTCAGGAACTAGGTTAAGAAAGACATACAGGCTGCATTTTTGTGTATACATGTATAAACATGAATGTTTTATCCTTTTTTTAAATCACAAAATAAACACAAAATATTGTTACAACTTAAAGATTGTAAATACAACACTTATTTATCTTGGTATTTAAAACTATTGAAGACATTCAAGACAATATATCTACAATGTGCCTGTTTAACTGTACATGTACATAAACCTATATATGTAAACTGAAAATAGGATTTTTAATGTGAAAAATCTCTATACTGCAGGGTAATTGTGGATAAATTACATATTTCAATTTCTGTCTGTTACTGTTGGGTTGTAATGATTTCCAATTATTTATTTGCAAAAGGGGGAAAAGGAAAAGGATTCTTTACAATAAATTTATCACTAATCACGAGACATCAATTACAAAAAAAAAAAAATAATTACCAAATTTAAATCATGCGTGTATAGGAATTAAGGAAAAGCCATGCCTTTACAGTGAAAACCTGACCAAACTACTAGTAGAAAGAGGCACAAATTGAATGATGACATTGCCTGGTCTCTTTCAATTATTTCATTTTAATCAGTCTGATGTACATGTACATGTATTTTCTTATAACTTTTGCATAAAATTGTATACACTTCTAAGATAATTAAATTTAATTAACTAAAATGTACTAGTTTCTTTGTCATTTTTGGTAAACACTCATTTTGTAAATAATTATAAACCATAAATATAAATAATACTTTTTCAGTGTTGAACAATAACCTTATTGTTAAAATATATACATGTATAAACAAAATACATCAAAGCTTTTGGATAATAAAACTATGTTATTTTGACAATAATTTAAATTCTTTTCAAACTGCTGTTCATTATTTTGTTGAACCCTTTAATACAATGCATGTTACACTAGTAGATATAAATCTCCAAAAGACATAAGAATATACATGTGTTGAAATTTAAATTGACATTTAACAACAATAGGTTATCAAATCTATTGGCATAATTTTTCTGGAATATTCATAAAAAACACCAATAAAAAAGTTTTCACACGACTTCTTATGTTAATGTCATTTATAAAGTTAACAAGTTTACATAATGTCCTTTTAATCTATTTGGCTAAGTACATCACAAACACAACACACAAATGATACATTTATCCATTATGTCTTATAATGTTAAATCCTTTGGTCTTTTATTTTTATATACATGTATATATATATATCAATGTAATGAATTAACACACTGTGTGTGACTCCGCTAAAATACTATTTTTCATTCAGCAGTGTTCTCCACAGGGCCTTAAAGGACCGTGGGCCCGCGATGTATATTTTTTTACCGTGGTGGTATTGTTCTTACCGCGATGTATTACATTTTTTGTAATTGCTAACAAATGGTGGCAGGTAGCAAAACAAAAACAGATTTTGACTAAACCTTTCAATCACAGTGCAGTTATTTAACAATGACGGGGATCATTTGAACATGGCAGAAGATAATTTAACGATGACAGTGCGCAATCATAAAACAGGTCAAGGAGATCCCTGTATCAATGTCAACAAGTTCATTTCTAATTTAAGTTACATTCTGTTTTTCACCGGATATATCATTTGTTCTTCTAGTAAGCAAGAAGGAGAAATGAGGGTTTCAAAATGGCTTGGTAGAAATGAAATCTTGAAAGAGTGAAAGCTGGTGAAAATGGGTACAATCCACTACACAGTGGTTCATTCAAAACCAGCAATAATATAGATGGTACCAATTTTACTTCAAAAGATGCACATTTTAACAATAAAATATAATAATAAGATGTGGTATGATTGCCAATGAGACAACATTCCACAAGAGACCAAATGACACAGAAATTAACAACTATAGGTCAATGTACGGCCTTCAACAATGAGTAAAACCCATACAGCATAGTCAGTTATAAAAGGCCCCGTAATGACAAATGTAAAACAATTCAAAGAAGAAAACTAACGGCATGATTTATGTACAAAATAATGAACGAAAAACAAATATGATATACAGCAACAAATGACAACCACTGAATTACAGGCTCCTGACTTGGGACGGGCACATACAGAATGTGGCGCGGTTAAACAAGTTTGAAGGCGAGTCAACCCCCCCCCCGCCTAACCTGGGATCTGTTAGAGCTGATCAAACCAAAAAACCCAGAATATAGCCAAAACCAGACAAGGAATCAAAGCTTTGCATGAAGGAAAAAGGCAAGTGATTTGTAAGTGAACACCTTGTGTGCACTGTAAATAGTTGCTTAACAAGTTTAACTCTCCACTAAATGTTTACGTGCATATTCCACAGCAAGCACCTTATGATATTGTTGAACTGATTTTTAAAAAGAACCCTGTAATCAATCATAACATTCTAGACTAAATGCATTTCACAGCTTGCCACAAGGAAGACTTGTTCACTGTGGAAGACTGTACCTCTGTCTATACATACATGTACATGTATATAGCTCCTTTCAGTAAATGTTGTTTATTCTCTGACAGATAGACTTTTATTGTTCTAACCAAATCATAATATCAAATGTATAACCAAATCAAAATATCAAATGTCAACTTTTTTACTTTTCATTTTTCATGAAAGCTCTTCTATGCAACTTAAGAACTTCCTTGAAAAGAATGGATTGATATACAGAGTCCTCCAACAGAATGACTTGTCAGTGACACTGATATGTCATTTATGCAAAATTCTATCTTCCCAAATGTGTTCTAGGTTGCATCTTTTTTATTAAATTTTAATCCCCCCCCCCCCCCCCCCCATTGTAGGAATGAGCAATGTGGCAATTTTTTTATTCACAAAATTTCTTTCAACTCCATGGAGCAAGCATGTGTCAGACATCTTAATGCTATTCCCTCTCATTGTTAAGGGTTTTACCAGAGTTGTTAAACAAATTAACAGGGGGTGAACAGAAGCAAAACGTGCACATGCACCACTTTAGGAATAGAAAACATGTATATGATTAAAGATTTCTCATACCTGCCAAACTCCTACTACAGCATTACAAATTAAAATTGTCAATATCACAAATGGTTCTACGAATGCTGTTACTTGTTCCTCACTTTCTTCAAACCAAGCTAATACCTGAAATATTAGAAAGTTTACTTCAACCTCTATCTATGCATTCTTTTTTCATTTTTTTGTATAAATTGTGTTTGAATATTTAACCACTGTGGCCATTTCATAATAAAAATTAATAATAAATACTTCATTCTTGCTAGTAATTGACCGTGCAAGACCCTTATGGGAAGTCAAGGTTGCTAAAACCCCCCCTCGTCGTTGCTCTGTTTTTACCATTAATAGACATAATTATCCCCTTGTCTAAGGCAGTTAAAAACATAATACAATGTAGTGTTTACTCTTCATCCAACATGTAAGTTTAGCCTTAAAATTCAGATCTAAGCAACTTAAAATCATAGAGCAATGATCTTTTCTCAGTTGATGCCTCGTGTTCAGTGACAAAGGTCTACAACAAAATTAAGCCACAGTTACTGATTTGAATAAATAAATAATAATAATGACCATCGGGATCAGCTGTCATTTATGACTACTCCATTTCTTTTTATTAAACCATTGATCTTTTATATTATAATAGTTAGTATGATTTCTGTCAGACATACCATGGCAAAAAACCATCTTTTCAAGGAATCCTCATATGATAGTAATCTGAATTGCATTGTAATGTTGCCATTGCCAATAATAAAATGTGAAACTTTATGGTGGGCTTATGTACACATGGTACACTGCTTCCAAAAAAGTAGAAAAGTAGAAAAATAATAAAAATGAATGACCTTGAAAATAACAATGTTATTGCAACTAATCTAGGGACTAAGTTATTAACAATGGATACTGAAATTCTAATAATGGTCCTACAATGGTGATTGCTTATCCTCCAGTGGCAAATATTTTGTGCATGTTCAGGACATGAACAAATATACAATACATACAATGGTTAGGTCCTGAATTAGGGGACAACAAGGCTGAAAGGCAGGAAATTTAGACTGTCAATGAGAGTACATTTGATAGGGACAGAAATTCAGACTTACAACAGGCCACCTACAGACCACTTAAAAGAGTTGTTGAAATGTGCCCTTAACATGCAGTGTGTGTTGCACTCTCTTTACACAATGCATCAGATTTAACGTCCCTATTTTTCCAGACGTGGCTGTGTACTTATACATCCCTCACAGCCCAACAGATACCCAACTTTGGGAGGGTTTTAATGCCAGTCAGAACACTAAAGTGACCATATTTCTTTTCCCCAGTTACCATTGAGGTTCCTACAATGTACCTACCAGTCTATTCAGATAAAGAATTGTATCACCAGACACGCAACATTTTGTTTGAGTTTGGCCGAACGGTTAACAGACTTAGTTTTGGAAATGCTGATTCCTGTTCTAGCTTAATTAACAAGATATACTTACAAAAGATATTACAGCTGCTAATAAAAGAATTTTGACTAATAAATCATCAAACTGTTCTAGAATTAATTCCCATAGAGGTTTACCTGCAAAAGACATTACATAAATTTATCTTGATGAATGAGCCATTTCAAGGTACTCTAAAGCAAAGGTAATTATTCTAAATATCTTATTGACGTTCATTCCAGTTTAAAGATGTAAGGAAGCAGCTGGGTTTGTGCATGTATCAAACTTCTTTTAGGTAAACAGTTTTCACAATTTGAATGTACAATGTACATATAATTTGGTTGTGTAAATTATAATAAATGTAATAAAATCAAGTACATGTATACCTTCTCATTTCATTCACATAAAATATTTCATAATAGTAGTACTGTGTTTGGTACATTATTTGATTCAGTGAAGCAACAAATTTCTACAATTCAAAATATGTGGATTCATAATTATTCATGGGGGTATTAATTACCTATTTTCACAGATTTCTTGGGTTAACCCCTTGGTGAACATATCAAAATACACAGACTTGTATGCAATTTTTTGTTAAATTTTGTTAAAACAAAAACAAACAAATATCATGAAAAAAACATTTTTTTCTGTATACACAAAATCTGTGTACCCTCTCCATATTTTTAGTCCTATCTTGTGCATTTAAAAGCAAGCCCCCTCTACATACAACAGCAAGAACACTTTAGATAAGTTTATTACATCTTAACTTGAATTTCATGCCAGTTTTGATAGTTTACAATAGGGAAAACTACACTAATAATCTACTTTTTACTCCCAAGCTACAGGACATATAGTTGTGAACATGTGCACTGAAATGTTGACACACAATTTAATAAATAGGAAGTTGATTTATTTCAACACAAACTAAAAGATAACATATGACAATACATACCTTCCTCTGCTGGTAATTCTGAAAGAGAAATTAAAATTCATTTTGTTAAATATGAAAATCTAACCCGTAAAAAACATGAACATATTTAAATAGTATTCACGACAACGTGTCATAAAAAACTCGTGTATTTACTTTGGACTCGAATAATGGAGAATTTTTACAAACACATGTGAATGACGTCTCACTAAATACTTACCGTTTGGGCCATATTTTTCAATTCCAGCTTTCACTTGGTCATCTGTATATCCAGTTTCTTCCCCAACATTAAAATAATCCAACACTTCCTCCACGGATTTTGTATGAGAAGCTTCCATACTTCGGTGAAATGTAAATCAGTTTTTACGAAAGACAAGTCAGAACATTCACGAAAATCCTTTCAAATCATAGAATTTGTTACTTTGGTGTACCCTTTGACGCAGTCTTAGTGTTATGGAAGCTTATTGAAAATTCAAGCGAGAAATTTTATAATTTCTGGCTTGAGTTTTCGATGTAGAACAGTGGAGCACCGTACAACTGGTATCGCAGAATCGCTGCCGTGTTAGGTAAAGGAAGAATCTACGTCATCAAAAAGGGGGAGTTAACTGCGTAAACATTTTTCGGAGTGAATATGTATTTTTTTGTATACTTTCCAATATCTAAACCAATACAAATTTATTAATTTGATTTTTATATTTTTGCATTGGTTCTTTTATGCAAATTATGATTAAAAAATATGACTGTAATGGAATATTCCACTGTTTATAAATGACCGAAACCAGATGTGGTGATGTTTGATTGGCTGATATTTATGACGGCAAATGTGTCAAAGGTCACCCTCCGTTTGTGCTATACTATTTATATCTCAAATTTTCCTGAAGTTATTAAACTTGTATACATATATTTGTTTCTTTAGTTAAGCATTGTTACTGATGACAGTGCACACATCAAGGAGTTGTATAGTGCTTTCTCTGCGAGTACTTACTATACAAATCCTTGCACACATTACGCTGATTAATACCACTGATTTAAAAGGTTGATTTTTTTCAAAATACCGTGGTATAAGGACATGATCCCTATTTACAGATGTCGTTAAATGAAATTGGCCTCAGGGGCGGATCCAGCCATTTATAAAAAAGGGGGGGGGGCAACTATATGTCCCCATTCAAATACATTGATTGTAAAAAAAAGGTGGGGTGCAACTCAATTCAAGTATACGTTCTGTTTGAATTATGACTAATAAAATTGAGATTTTGTTTGTCTCGAGTCTATGTAACCCCCCCTTTTGAAAATTCTTGGATACGGGCCTGATTTATCATGCTTTTCGATAATATATGGTCAAACCGATGAAAGACCCCCTCCTAAATTATTGAAAACTATCATTCTGCATTGACAATACTATCTTGGTGTAAATTAAATACACCCATTCGGGCTAACGCCCTCAAGGTGTATCTAATACTTACATAGAAGTGTTATCATTTATCAGCAAAAAGTTCAGATTTTGGCAATAAAACCAGTAAAAGACAAGACGAACAGCGATTCATATTACCACACAAAAGCAGTGATAAGGTATCAATTTGATGACAGAAAAATAGACGCAAATAAGATTTCATTGAAATCCATAACTACAAATCATCTTCTGAAAGCGTTACTGCATCTGGAAAATTTGAGATAAAGACACTTTTCCTGTTTTATCAAAACTAATTGCTCTTTTTAGAACAAGAGAAAAGATTACATATTTATTTATTACTTCTATGCAAATCAGATGTAATCGTCTCATATCTTCTGCCCTGAGAAGCTTACATCCAATACTCACAAAATGATGTAATTTAGCAGGGACGAGCACATTTATACTTCGTTATTGATAAGTGGAATAATATACAGAAGAAACCAAAAATTTTCATCAATTCATGAAAAAAACCTAATTAATATTATATCCCAATTTTTAGGCGAACGATATATATATAAAGTGATAGTCCGTATGATCCGAGGGTCCTTCTGTCCAACTTGTGTATCCACAATTGCTCCTGCGCCGCAAGACAGAATTCAAAAGTTTTCACAGAATCTCAATCTCATGATATCGATGTACTTGCTTTTGCTTTTGCTTTTGCTTTTGCATTTCTTATTTCATTCTTCATCTGAATAATTTATGGGGTTTTCTTTGGGATAACATGATGTATCCACAACTCAGCCTCCTAAAACCTTTACTACAATCTATTGAAATTTTCTCACAATCTTACCCATATAGCTTTACCCATATAGCTGGTTTACACCTATTTGCTTTTAATAAAAAAACATAGCATTATATATAATGTTTTTTTAAATGCTTTCTTATATGCATATATAATGAATGGATGGAGTACCGTTTCGTGAGCTTAGTTCGTGGTGCTTCGTTTCTAATTAATTTAGATGCTATGGCAGATAAAAACACATCTACAAGTAAACATTAAACTGAAAAATAATAAACGGCAATACAATAGGTATGAAATAATGCTGTCATTTACTAAAAGCTGGTTCAGGACATATACAGTTTCAGTCTGGAACTAGTTCAACACAGAAAAAAATGGTCGAAATTTTGAAAATCATTTATTAGTACTTGGCTTAAATAGGTAGCATCACGATATAAATTTTGATTTTCCAATTATACCTCTAAAACATTTCCCCGCCAAGCTAAGAAAGGTGTTGAGATAAAGACACATACATTTGAATATACATTGTTTCAAAATATTGATTTTTGAATTGGTTAAGTTTGTGACAAAAGTTTATCGTTGGTTAACCAGAGAAAATGACACACGCTACACGTTGCGTTAACATAAGAACAATAACTCTTCCTATTTTTCACAAAAATATGTAAAGCTTACGTGTCTTTTCTTATCATTTACTGAAAAAAATTACCCATCGGTCTGATGAAATGTATGTATTCGGGTTGGTTAACCCTGGGACTATTATACTAATATAGTTATTGCCACATTTTTACATCTTTATGAATTAAACCCATATTATTCAAATCAAATACTTTATTGCCATATAAATCAAAAACATGATCTGTGACAAACACAACATATATACTGTTACAAATCAAACATTCTTCAAAATAAACATTATATGGCAGTGAAATATGGGAAATGTTTCGTACTGATTCAGCTGCATGTAAAAAAAATAATGATTCTATATTAGAAAAAGTTCTTGGTCAGGATTCTTCTGAAAAAGCTCATAATAAATTTACGAAATAAATTCTTGGTGTAAACAGAAAGTCCAGTAACATAGCTGTGATGTCAGAGCTTGGTAGATTTCCTATTTATTTTACTATAATTTTATCAATGTTAAAATATTGTCATAGACTGGAAGGTTTGACAGAAGGATTATTATTTGATGCATCCATATGTGTTGTAAACAATTACATATTTCTAATGTTAATACATGGTACTCTAGTATAGATTATATTCAGAGAGAGATTAAATTACCAAATTTTGACCAATCAATTGGTTCTTTATGTAAGTATGTTAAAAACAAACTATGTGAAAGTTATTTAACATTTTGGAATAGACTGAAGTATCAAACAATTAACTCAGAAAAAGGGAAGCTTGGTACTTATTTTTCTATAAAAGATTGTTTTAAAAAAGAAAATATTCAGAACAACAGGATTTTTGAAAAAGACAGTCAATTTGTAAATTAAGAATAAGCGCTCACTCTTTAAAAATTGAGACAGAAAGATATTCAAAACAACATATAGATAGATCTGAGCGTCTTTGTTTAAATTGCTCACTTGGTAAAGTTGAGGATGAGCTTCATTTTTTATTAGAATGCCCTCTTTATGATATCAAAAGAGAATTTTTTTTAATACATTTCTAACATTTGTTATAATTTAAAAAAAAAATATAAATCTTCCACATTTTTATGGCTCTTGACCCAAGAAAATGTATCTCTTATGGAAAAAATGGGTTGTTATATTGGAGACTGTTTTGAATTAAGGAGATCAGGTATGAATATTGACACTAAGTCTAGTAAACAATTTGAGAATGAATGCATATAATGTAATTTTATTCTTTTATTCACAATATATATATATTGTTGTTGGCTCTGATTCTGACCAATGCTAATATACATTTACATGTACACTGGGATGTTTATTGTTGTAATTATCAATTATGTCAATCAATTGTAACTGATTTTATGCCCTTCATGGGCCCTGTAATTTGGGAAATAAAAATATTCTATTATATATTCTATTCTATTCTATTATAATAGTCTCAGGTTAACCACATTCCGCGTTTAGAATGACTGTTATAACAATTTTTCCGAAATGTAAAGAAATTATGTATTTATGATAAAACATAAAAATAAGGAGACGTGGTATGATTACCACTGACACAAATGAATGAGACAACCATCCCCCAATAGACTAAGGTCGAGGAAGTTTACAACTATATATAGACCAACGTACGGCTTTCAGCGATGGTTAAGTTTTGCAAAAAGTCCCCAGCATGACAAAATTTAAAACAAGTCAAATGAGAAAACCAACAGTCAAATTGTTTCAAAAAGGTGTAAATGATAAACAAATGTTGCCGACAGAAACCACCAATCACCTAACCACTCTGTTGTATTACTTGGGATAGGCACAGAAAGAATATGTGACGGACGTTAAACATGTTTGATCCTGAGAGCAAGTTGTAGCTTCCATTGAATCAACCGAGGCACTGCTCCGGTAAGAAATATTATACAAAAAAAAGGGTGATATTCACCTTTATAAATTTTTAAACAGTTTCAACCTGATGCAGCAGACCTGCAGCTGGTCGTATAATGCATACCAGGAGTCTATGTTCCCAGTAATGAACTTCTGTTCATACTAATTGTAAAAGCTATACAGAAATATTGAGTTCCCGGATTTGTTTCTCCACTAACTACATTGGTTGGATATCGTTTTTCAGGAGAGCGGGTCAAAGAATATCGGTGTCGAAGATATGTACTCAGTTAAAACTATATCCGCCGATAAGCAAACATTGTTCAACAGATTCAACGTGCATAGAAAATTTCCTAATAATATGCCTTGTAACGCAAAATTCAGATGCAATTTTATAGAATCGAACAACTATGCCAGAAAAAATAATACATAGACAAAATATAGCAGAGCCAGTGTATTGAAAAATCAAAATGGCAATATAATTTAACTCGGAATTCGGAATCAGCGATGTGCATCTGCAGCGGAATTCTTATTTAATAACATAACGGTACCAATTTTCTTGCTCTAAAGGTTAAAAGATCTAGCCTAAGGGCCGAATTACCTTGACTTTTTACACCGGGATCAAAAACCCAAGAGTTAAGAGTAAATTAATTTGCATCTGAAAGACAATACATGCCTATTATACTGCTGTTGAATTTTGGTTTTTGTTAAGAATTGATGTCCTTATTTTTTTTTAAACTCAAAACTTTGCTCTAATTTTCCAAAATTTAAATCTTTAAGCGTTTGTAATTTCATGTTTAGAAAAAAACGACGTAATGTCCCTACAACCCCAAAGAAACCAATGAAGTTGAAATACTGTAAATTTTAAAAAGTTAAAGGACCTTCTGAAAAGGGTCTGGATTAAGATAAACCCATGTAGATTTGACCATTTTCAGCTTTTCCTTCTTGCATCCTTTTTTTCAATTGCTTTCAAATGAATTAATATATGAATATTCAACATGGAAAAGTGTTGCAGTTTTGTCTTACTGTTGATTAA